CTAGCCTGCAGAGTATATACTACCAGGTATGGGAGACTTATCGATGAAGTTCTCAACGATACCAGATCGCGTGATAGAGATTGGTATTGCCGCATGTGTGCCAGCTCCCCGGTGGGGTTCCTGAAGACACATTGGAGATCCACTGGTGACTGAGTTAAACATTCATGTGGACTGCAGCCACGTTCTCGACGGATCGGAAGTATAACGAGTATCTCAAACTGCGCTGGATATGTGAAAACTCCAGACATAGAGCTCTAGATCATGATGAACATGTTTAAACTGAGTTTCTGCGTGGATATGCTAAGGAAATGAATATTTTTCTTTTTACTTGCATTGTGATAGGCGAGAGATTATTCCACAACGCACGCCTACCGACACCATTTGGATCGCATCAAACTGAGCCTAAAGCTTTCGGCCAGCGTATAATATCAATTTCGATTGATACTGTAAATGCTTATGATTCACTTCCCTATTTGAGCTTTGCCTCGTCAAGCTGGAGCTTCACCCATTGCTCCACTGTAGTAGGCTCACGTCCAAGAAGCCATCGCAACACATTTGGGTTGCCAGCCAAGCTGTACCGGTTGTAGAACAAAATGAGTCTCTCCGCTTCGTCTTTCGTGACATCAGGTCTCAGATCCCCCTCGGCGCAGAGCATGCTGTTTCCTCCAAACAGCAACGCCAAGAGATTCTCAACCCCCTGTTCAAACGTTGGTTTGTTTACTTGAACTTCCTTCCCAATCTTCTTACTGATCGCTTCGAATACCTCGGCATCCGTAGTGGGGAGGGTACTAGCCAAAGGGTATTGCGCATAGAAGTGCTTCTCGCGTTCCGTCAGCACCTTGGCAGCAGCCTCAGCGAGGTCTCTGAGGGCGATCAAGCTGTTCGGCATATTGGGTTTCCAGAGTCGTTCCATCGACGGATTCTCCATGCTGGCAAGGTGTGCAACCGGATAGGCATCCATGAAGTTGGTTGGTTGCAGAATCGTCCACGGAATCGGGCTGAGCATCAAACGTTCCTCCACGAAGCTCTTCAGGTCGTGCTGCATGAGCTTGCGGTGCTGCGTACCCAACACGCTAGAGTACACAAAGTGACGGAACTGATTGCCGGGCTCGCGCGCCTCGGCAGTAGCAGCATCGATCATGTTGAATCCCATCTCCCGCTCGCGGGAGTGAATGCTCGGGCCGGCGTGGTAGACCGCAGTAGCGCCACGGAGTAACCCCCGACAGGCATTGACGGAGGCCAAGTCGGCGACGACAACTTCGGCACCAGGATACCTTGTCCGAAGTTTGTCGGCTGAGGCCTCTGAATGCGATATAAGTCGGAGCTTGAAGCGCTTGGATGATACAAGGAGCGGCAACAGGTGGGCATTCTGTCGGCCGCTGGCCGAAGTGACGACGAGAATTTCAGACATATTTTCGGAGCTAGAAGTACCAAATAAGCCCATGATGAGTTCGTTGATGTAGCAAACAGTCTCCTCAGCATGCGGGGAGGCTCATCGAATATTTATGTTAGCCTGCCATGTTGTCATCGGAAGCACCGGTCTAACTCAAGTAAGACACAAAATTGACTTCGGCGCACCTGCCAATTGGTCCAAACTGGGAGCTAGACATGCGTCATTCTTTGTTAGACCACCATAAGTCTAGACATTCCGGAGATGGTAAGTTTACTATATTTTGGGACGAATCGGATTCAACGTGTAAGCCCGGTGTAAGGCATGTGAGCTCGCTGTAGGGCGTGTGAGCTCGCTGTAGGGCGTGTAAGCCCGAGCCGCCCATCAGCAGTAGTATTTTTTAGGTTTCTCCTATGCTTTTTTCGCACGGGTGATTGGCTCTTCCGGACTTCTGTAAGACCGACTCTCAATTCAACGTCACTAAGTATTTAATTGGCAGCGGTACTGGCATACGGTTACAGCGTCATACTTCGACAGACGTACATTGGGTAAGGTAATGTACCGGTGTACCACTACAAGTCATTGTTGCGGAAACTTAGAACAGTCACTGTCTATTCTTGCTGTTACATACAGGCAGCACTCCTCGAAATTTGGTTGTTTAGATGTATTTGTCCCGGATGTTTTATTGTATTTTTCATTGAATTTATCTTTGCTATTTTCGACGTCGTCGTCGTCGTCGTCTCTGGTGTCCTTGCGGTATCTAATTCTTCGCCTTGTATCAAGGCCGAGTTCATTCAAACACATAGGAAGTAGACAATGCAGTCGCATGAGCACAGCTGATACATACGGACTTATAAGCAACATTAGGTGATAAGCGACTCGCAGAGCGTTTCTTGGAAGTTGAAAACCGCTCATCATCATTATTAATAGACATAATTACATTCGGGCATCCAAATCTTGCGTGCCACTTTACAGCTTGAAAACGGCATAGTCCTGAAGTCTTGAAAACCAGCTGAACCGAGCCTGCAGATGACCAGAGGGTGGGAAGCCCTTGCTAGCATGACTAGCTATCCACGCTCATATAGCCGGTGTGAGTGGCGATGATTCAACACTGCCATCGTAACTCGTACATGTCGGAAATATCTTAGTTGTCTATGCCCATGTTAGATCATTGTTTCAGAACCAAGTCTTTGGTCGAGGAGACTCACGGAAGCCAGGGGAGTGGTGAGTGCCGTTGTGGTGGTGGAAGTCTCTCAGCAGAGTGGTGTTGGATCTAGTGAAGTGGTGGTGGGTTCCGTTGATGGGCTCAAGGAAGTGCTCGGCAGCGCTGAGGTTGGAGCGGGCGACGTGGTGGTGAGTACCGTTGTGGTGAGCAGCCTTCAGGAGGGTCGAGTTGGTGGGGAACGCTCCGATGAGAGGAGTCATGGCCAAGCAGGCGAGAGCGGCAGCGGCGAAGTTGACCATTTTGGCGGGTTTGTGGTGAGATTTGCTAGGATTCAGAAGAAAGAGTCTTTGGAGAAGACGGAATCGTCAAAAGTTGGGTTCTTGATCAACTATTAAATAGGGGCCCAGCACTAGGGGAACATGCTCAGCATCCTTGAGGGGAGCTAAACCGAAGATCTTTCTTGAAGACCCATGAGTTTGGCCTTATCTCGCTTTGGGCTCTAAAATCAGCCAAGGAGTGAAAACCTCAACGTCGATCTCAGCATCAGTCAAACCAGCCCTGCAATTGTGTGAACTGACAAGGGGTACAAAACAGAATAGCCTCATCCACTTCGGGAGTTATTGGATGATCAAGCATCAGAGCCTTGCGGTAGATCCACAAACGGACCACATCGCGCCGTTTCCACCAGAACGCGGTGTCCATCGTCAAGTTTTGCCTCAAGAGACAGCAATTGGCAAGCATCGCGATGAAAATTTCGGTGGATCTTGGATGGTGGTCGTGGTTTTACTTGCGCACCAAGCTGGTCGCGCCAACTTGGGTAGCATGACTCAATTGACAGGACCACAAGCTGTTTATCCACTGATTGAGTGATCACCTTGAGGGAACTGGACGGGAATCACGACCGAATCCAGCATTTTCACTGACAAGTGCGGTGTAACCCCGTCCAAGAACATCACCACCAGCTGGAAGAGAAGCCCCGATAAGGCCGTTCTCAAATCCACTCGGTGCCCAGCTGCGGCAATGATTGCCGTCCGGATTGATTCCACAGGATGGGATTTTCACTTCTCACATTGCGAAGCGGATCCAATGCAACCTGAGGTGGAGAACAAATGGTTATCCCGGCAACGGAGACCGCTCCGGGATCTGAGCTCTGCGACAGCTTTGAAGAGCAGAAAGCTATGGCGGACTGACACGTGCTGGAAGCGGCTCATTTAACGTGTCTGTAGATCAGGCGGAACTTGGGAGGTGACTGTCGATCTCTCACCGAGAATTTCAACGTCCGTTTCTTGACCACAATGAGCCTTCCAGGTCGCGTCCAACATTTTCCTCGAGCTTGGAGCATCTTTGGATCGACGCGTCTCCCTGCCCCGGCATTGATCCACAACTGAGGGAGCCAACCATCCAGCCTGTTCATGTTTTGGGCGAGCTTTTGAATGCTTATTTCCCAACCTGCATGGCAGACCGCCTCGGTCAAGACTTCATGCGCTATCGCAAAATGGCTTCGTCTTCTCTGGCCATCCTGCAACTTCGCAACAACAACAGCGGCTACATTTCTCGTGAGCCTCGTCGATCCTTCTGCTGTCAGGATCTTTGGGTGTTCCTTAGCCGGTTCGCAAGTTCGAATCTGCATCGACGCCAGGTACCACCTCCTGCTGAGATCTTGAATGACTGTTCAGTGATACCAAATCAGTGTGCATCTGCCGGTTTGCACAAACAGGTGGAATGGTGAGATTTGCCTTCGTGATGCGATAACATCATTGCAAGTGCAAAGCCTCGAAGGCGATGGGTGCACTGCTTGAGGATTACGCTGTCGTGAAGGCGGTTTGTCATGTGGCCCGGGTTGACTACCCACACAGGGATGATGTTCTAAAAATTTGACCAAAAGTTGAAGGTCTGTTCCAACTGATCGTGATCCTTAGCCAATGCGAACCTGTTCCAAGTAATTGACATCAGCTATCTGTTGAAGAGGATTTCGTTGAATCATACGTCAATTGTCTTAAACATACGTATCGGTATTAGGGGTAAGTGGCTTTTTGACTTCCCTGGCAATCGAAGTCTCGGCAGGCCCGGCTGCTTGGCTCTCGGCAATGTTCTTGGATGACATGACTGAAGATCCCAGATCCATGACATCGTTGATTGGGGACCCCACAAATTTGCTGAACGACGACACGGGGTTGAACAACGCAAAATAGAGTTTGTAGAATAGATGAGCCCACGATGAACTGGACCGGAACGTTGGATTGCTCCGGGTGGCGCCAGGAATAAGTGATCAGCTTGGCGCTGACAATTGAAAGCGAAACCGGGGACGTTAAAAACAAGACAACTCCGCCCTCGCGCATCCTTTCCAGAACATCGCAGTCAGCGCTCGTCGATCAATTCCGTCACTCGTTTGCTCTTACTCGCCCAACAGATCCACGACTTCTCAAAACAACCTCGTTCTCCACGATGCATATTCCGATCGGCTCGTTTGCGCTTCGCGCTCTGGCTTCAGCGCCCCTCTTTAGCCCCTGGAGCACCAGTGAATGGATCGCCTCTGACGACACGGTTCGCAACGGGACGAGTCATTCCTTCCTGGACATCATCGAGCCTGGCGCGGTCGGTAACCCGTTCATCGAGACGATTGTCAACTTCCACGGAAATCTGGATTATGCGACACTAGGCGGTGCCGGTTTTGCTTCCCAACGAACAGTCGATGACTGGCCCAGCATCGATATTTCAGCTTACGACACCATCACCCTAGAGGTCCCCTACTCTGACGGCAAGAAGTACACGTTCAACTTGAAGGACACTGTTCCGCCTCCCATCAACGGCGTTGAGCAGTCTGGTGTGAGTTGGGAATATGATTTCCAGATTCCAGCGGTCAACCACACAACGGGCGACGTCGAAAAGGTCGTTATGCCAATCGCGGACTTTGTCCCAACATACCGTGGAAGAGTCCAAAACGACACTGCACCTCTTGATCTGACCAGCATCAAGAGAGTCAACTTCATGATTAGAAGGTGAGCAGATCCGAAAGCCTTCCTAGGAGAAAAGTCTAACCCAGTCGCAGTTTCTTTGCCGAGCAGGACGGGGACTTCCAGTTGCACATTAAGTCTGTGATCGCCTCAGCTCAGGGGAGCCAGGAATTGCGGTCTGGGGTCTAACTGATGGAGCATGAACAGTGACGATACAAAAGCAGTAAAATCATCAAGTTATTGAACATGGCCTACATAAATCACCTTGATTAAACAAAAACTTAGAGAAAAAGAATTTGCTACTTGTCTGCATGCCAAAAACGTATTAAAAGCAACTCAGACCAGGGAGAAATATCGAGCCGACCTGTGTAGAGGGTTTCATGCCCTTCTTCCAAGGGAGGTTTGTGGGATTGGGAGTTTCCCGTTACGTGACTAGTCGCATGAATGTTCCAGGGAGAGCTCGAATTTCCAGTTTCGTGATGCAGATCGTTCGCTCTTCAGGATTGCTGTCACGTCGTACTATATTGCGTAAATGTCTCTAAGACTGTACATGACTTGTTTGTGACTTGTTGATCGACGTTATCAGAGAAGTTTCGATACCCGGCAGAGTACTACCTGAAAACTATGTACATCTTACACATACCTCATATAATTGTCTTTACTATGATTTTTCTGATTACCTTAAGTACTGTTTATACCGTCGTTGCTGCTACTCCCATTTCATTGTAATCGGCGTCGTTGTCCTTGCGGTTGGCTTGCAACCACCGTCCATCCGAATAGCAGAACTTTGTTAGAGATCGTGACGCGATCCTACGTCGACTTGGAGTCGTATCCCTTCGATAATCCTTCCTGGTGCTTCAGTGATGAATCTTACGTGAGACGATGACTTCAAACCGATTCAAAAACGCACAAGTGCCAGCTGAGTAAGTTAAACCGGTGAACCGCCGAGCACTGTGGGCTTTGAGACATCCAAAAGCCGTTTTCCCATTGGCTTCGAAGTATCCGATCAGGGCAGGTTTTGGTCCACATTCACAAACGTGGCCAAGCAGCAATGAACCCTAGTGCTTACGCAAAGCACTTATTTGCTCGCCTGAGAATTTCCGTTATATCATGTCTTGAATTACTTCCCAGTTTCAACCGCCGCCAAGAAGGGCAAATCGACGTATTGCAACCCCCCGCAGAGACCGGTCTACATGTCCACAACTGTGCAAGGTTGACGCACGCTTCTTGTAACCGGACATTTACTCCCCTGTGATCACAGCTCTTTGCTTACGCTCTACTGGTTAGCTCAGACACTTGAGCACCGATTGAGCATCTCCATTACGTGTGCGTGTGTCGGAGCACCTACATAGGATTCGAGAGAATAGCCTAAGAGTTCCTTTTGTTTTAGACACCGCTTAGTTCAGGTTCAAGTCTGCGACTATCCGGAGGATCACATCCATATGCGGTGCCTCAGGGCGTTCTCCGAGACTCCGATAGACGAACATGCGTGTGGTTTGTTCAATGATGAGATGCATGCGAGTCGATTGTTGAAAAGCCTCAGATCCAGCGCTGCCGCAAGTGCAAGTCACTTAGCAAGTAATACAAGCTAATCAGCCAAGTTGACGCTATCGCCACCACCTAAGTAAGCAATTTATTACCCCTTAATTAAATTATTAGACTTAATATCTTATTTATAAATAGATCTAACTAATAGGAGGCTATAGATCGGTTAGCGCCCTATTTATTCTAGTATGTGCAGTTACTAAAATATGACACTATTACTAATATTATAATATCTCTATATCTAATTAATACTTTATAAACTACCCTTAAAATACTAAACTTTAAGAAATCTTTTTAAAACTTTCTAAGGGGGTAAAAATTATTATAGTAGTTTAAATAGTATAAAAAGCATTATAATTAGCTATCTTTTACAAAAGATATTTATTATCCTATATCTTCCTTATTATTTATACCTATATATTTATACTTCTTATAATATTAACTGCTACTACTACCTCCTTATCTGCTACTAACGTATATATGCTTTTAAGCGCCCCTTACACTTAAATCTTAACCTAAGTTATAGCTACCCTCACTATTAGTACCCCTCTAAATCCTATAATTAATAACCTACCTTATATCATTATAGGTAACTAGAGGTATATAGTTAAAGAGTAGTTATTATAGAGGTAAGGTAGAGGTTAATTAAGCTAGATTTAGTACTATAGCTACTTCCTCATTAAGGTTATATAGGGCTAAGCTAACGCCTCCTTCTAAAGTTACTAATAATATAATATAAAAAGAGCTTTATAGCTATTTAGCGTTCTTATTACTACTACTAAATAAGAGCACTTACTTTAATATATTACTTTAAGCTTTTAGACTATATAAATCACACTCTAATAATACTAAAATAGCTATAATATCTATAAGATCTCTCCTCTATTAGATAAAGACTTTAATAATATTACTCTTACCCCCTTACCTCTTATATTAATACTATCTCTATATAAGAGACTTCACCTTATTAATACTAATATCTTAAAGGCTAAAATTATAACCCTTAAAGACCTCTATATTACCTCTATTATCTCTACTAATCTGCTATTTACCTACTTTAAGAACGTCTTCCTCTAATAGATCTTTTAATACTATAGTATAAAAGTTACTAATAAGGTCCTATAGGGCTAGAGCTCTATTTAGGACTAGCTTTAAGACTTCTTCTAACGCAGTAAAGCTCTTATAATAGCTAAACTCTACTTAGTAATATTAAAGATATATCTATTATTTAATTTATAGTCCTCACCTAATATTTACGCCTTTATAGTAGTTACTAGTTACTTTATTAATAATAAGGGTACCTTATAGTTATATCTTCTAGCTTTCCCTTAGTATTATAGAAACTATAGTAGTAAAAGCCTTATAGAGACCCTTATTAGTATTATTAACTAGTACTAGATTTAGAACTATATCAAAGTAATAGTTACTAATAATACTATAAATAATAATACTTACCTCTAAGCTTTCTATTAGTAGATTAACCTAGAAATAATAGAGATAGATATCTAAGTTTAGTATATATAGTACTATAGCTATATCCTCAATCTTATAGCTTAAGCCTTCTTATTTAGTAAGGACTAAGGGACTCTTAAGGCTAAATCAGACTACTACTAGCTTATAGAGTAGTATAATAAGGATCTAAAGGCATAATAATATCTTAGGCCTATTAGCTAGCTTTAAAATATTATTAAGTTTATATAGGCTTCTCTATAATAAATAGAATAATACTAGAAGGTAGTAGTAGAGATTAATAATAGCTCTAACTTCTAGATCTTCTCTAAGTTATACTAAGAGGCCTAGCTTATACTAAATAATAATACCTATTAGAATAGTATATATCTAATAATTAAGAGGGCTATAAAAAAGAAAGTAGAGATTTAAGCCTTCCTATTAGTTAATAATAATAATAATAATATTAAGTAGTATATACTAAAGTTAGACCTACTCTCTGCTGATAATTAGAAGGTCCTCACTAAGATCTTAATAATCCTTAAGCCCTTTTATTACTAGATAAAGTAGTATAAAAGTTAGGGTATTAATAATAAGTATAGCTAACTTTAGGAGGTTATAATAGGTATTAAATACCTTCTCTTATATCTTATTAACTAGAAGATATACTATAATACTAATATTAATCTTAAGGTTAATAATAATAATAAGAGTGCCTCCTAGCTATTACAGCTATCTTAAAAGCATATTAGCTAAGCCTAACGCTATTAGCATAATATCTAAGCCTTACCTACCTATATATAGAAGAACTAAGTATTACTAGCCTTATAATCTACCTTATAATTTAAGACTTTTAACGAGAAGTAGTAGACCTTTCTCTATAATAATATTAAGTAGGTATAGTAGAAGCTCTTTAACTACTATAAGCTTCTCAGAGAGTTACTACTATTCTCTAGTATAATTATTTTACACCTATTATATAGTATCTTATACCTAAGAGATATATAGAGTGAGGATTACTAGAAGGGATAGATTAAGAAAGCTCTAAATACCTTTATAAAGTACTTTAATTAGTAGTATTATTAGCCTAATAAGATCTTATTATTAAGCTAGTAAGCTAGTATACTTCCTATTAATCCTAATACTAAAGATATAAAAGATATTTACTACTAGTAATAAGTTAATAGCTAACGCTATCAGACGCTACCCTAGATAGATAAGCTTAATCTCTACCTCTATTAATCTTTAAAAACTACTTCTAACCTAATATAGTAATAGATAGACTATATAGAGACCTTCCTAAAACTCTCCTAGTTTACTATTAATATCTTCACTATATTAGTAATAGTAGCTAACTATAAGAGGGCTTTTAGTACTACTAAGTTAAGCCTCTTATTATAGAGGCTCTTAATAATACTAAATACTATAGAGACCTTCTAACTAATAGAAGGGGGCAGAGAACTTAGAATTTTTAGCAATTTTAACTTAAAGGTAAGGGGTTAGATAGGTAGCTTTATAGGTATTAGGCGTTATCACAGAAGGAAATAACTTATATAAATAGATAGAGGCTTAGTTAGTCTATAATAAAAAAGACTAAGTAGATAAGTAAGAAATATACTCGTTTTTATACTTTTTCTGTTTTTCTTAATAACTTCAGTAACTATCCCTCTAAAAGAGCCTTTAGGACTCTTTAGTTTAGTTTATAAAAAAAATTTAGTAATTCTTACTTTTTAAAAATCAAATAAAGATAGGTGTTTTTAGGCCCTTTTAGCCTTAATTAGCCCTACTTTTATCCTCCTTCTTAATCCCTACTATACCTCCTTAATTATTTAAAGTAAAGAGAGAGTAGAATACTATAGGGATAATATTACTAAACTTCTTCTTAGTAACCTATTTTCTCCTATAAGATTATATAACCTAAGGTATAATAAGAGTAGAAAATATAGATAAAGTATAAATTAATTAAGCTTATATTTATATATTCACTTTTATATCTCTTATAGTTATCTAGAAAATTAATATATAAGTATTTAGGTATTTTTAGGGGGTTTTTACCTAAAGTGGAGTACTTAGTATAATTAATAAGTTTTCTCCCTTACCTTATTATAAAAATTAATAATTAGTATAGGGGGGTAAGCTAGATTACTATAGAGGATTCCTTTTATAGTTATCCTATACTACCCTACTAAACTAAA